TTTATCTATTTGATCTTTTTTCTGTAGGTTATCTTTTAATGTGCTATGATTTTGGATTTTCCATTTCTACTGTTACTGTTAATTTATGAAATTTTATTTTATTTTTGGTTTTAGAAATAATTATGTTTCAATTTTGATTGATTGCCTATCAAACAAAAAATTTCTAATATCAAACGGTTCGTATTTTTAATAATATCGAAAGTTTTTATTTCAAACATTTGTTGTGAATTAAGGGGGGAAGGTAAGGGGGGAAGGAGGGGGGGGGGTGTAAGAACATCAAACATGTAAAAACTCATATATAACTAATCGGTTCACGCGCTTTTTACCGAAAACAATTCATGTTCTAGTTTAAAATATACAGTTTAATGGAAAAAACAGACATGAGAATCGTGTTTATAATTTGAATTTAGTGTTTAGATTACTTAAAAACAGATAACATGTACAAGCTTATATGATCTTTGACATGGAAATGTAATGAATATAGACGTCGAAAACAAAACGTTCTAATGTAAGAATCTGAATCGTACAGACGTAAGTAAAACATTATTTCTGTCAAAATTTCAGGCGAATATTATGGTAATACTATTAATTAATTTTTGTGTTAATAGTTAGAAACTTGAGAAATAACTATATAATTATGTATTGTTTTCGCCATTTACATTAACTTTCCGTTGATTTTTCTATGTGATAATGTTCGATCTTAAGCTACACAACTGATACATGTATATCTCGATTAGTGAGTGAGTATGTAATGACGTCGTTTGTAATCCATTATAGGCGTTGCCAAGGTTTTGGAATTTCAGATATTTTGGTCTCGAGTAGCTGTAACCGGAAGACTGACTAAATAGAATAGCGACAATAACGAGATGCAACACGACCGATTGCAGAGGTTGGCCATGCCAGCGATAGATAGTGACTAAGACCTAGTCACTTGCCCGAGAAAGCTAAATTTAATTCCACTGATATAATTAGACACAAGTCCAAAGCAGTTTTAAACAATTTTTAAATAGTTGCAGGATGGGATACATGTAATTTTACTAATTCGTTTTTTTTAAGAGTAACACGAAGTGGGTCACATAAACCGGATGTGCTTAACTTTCCAGAGCACCATAGATCACCCCCGATTTTTGATGGGGTTCTTGTTGCTCAGTCATTAGTTTTCCATGTTGTGTTTTGTATTTTGTTTTTCTCCATCGGATAAACAGTAGTCATACAGAGCTAACACCATAATTTATATATAATTCGTCTTAAATTTAGCTCAACAATGATGCCTGCAAACTTGTGCTACTAAATTTTTGTTATTCCCTCGGCGGAATTAAAACCAATGATACATATCATTTAAATGTTTTCATATTATATATATATATATAAGTTTTTAAACAAGAAATAAATACTAATTCATTAATTGATAATGATTTATTGTGTTATTTTCTTTTCAGAATTTAAAAAATCATGGTGAAGACGATAACAAGTATCTTGCTTCTTTTCGTATATGTTGGGACAGGTTTGTTATTTGTTATGCTCCATTATAAATTTCAAGATTATATAGATAAACTGAAATGTGCACAGTATATCAAGTGATAACAAAAGACATTTGAAAAAACATAGTCATCATTATCTTCGTGTTGACACAACTTTTCGGAATGTTTTAGGTTTCCATGCTTTTTGGAATGTTTTCGCGTACAAAACGTTGGGATAGTTGTTCGGTTGTATGAATGAAGTCGCGTGAATTTCATTGATAAATTGAAGCGGACGGACACGAACACGTGACGTTGCTGCACTGATACATGACGCCATTGCCTAATATTTTCGAGTATCAAGTCCTGTCTATGATCTTCCAAATATTAGGCAGTAAGAACAAAGGGAAATGTACAAACTGTCGAAAACAAATAGATAGAAACAAGTGGTTTTATTAAAACTTTAAGTTATTAATAATTTGTAACCCAAATCAATTACATAGTTCCATAAATAATTGTGAAACTTAAACGTCAAGTAATATTTTTGTCATTATTTGTAAAGTAACCTTGTATCACTATACTCCTTTCAAATTTAACAAATTCTAATTTGATGTATAGAATGATGGAAAAATTCATAAAAACTAAACTCTATTGAGCAATTTGATAATTTTTAAAAACAAAAAAAAAAACGATATAAGTAACTAAATAACATAACTTGTTTCAGTAACGCCCCTGACTGTATATAGCAGAGACTATTTAGAATTTGAAATAGGAAAACATACTCTTAAAACAAACATTTAAAAATCAAGATGTGTTTCATATAACTGTTGACGAGTTTCTAAACTTCGTACTTGTTCTAATATTCTACGGGGTCATAAATGTAACCCTAATTACGTTTAGTCGTCATCAGTGTAGGGAAAAATAAACAGAGACAAATTTGCAATCAAAATCGGATAAAAAAAGCCCTACAACAGACGTTTTGCAAATACATTTGATGCACGTTTAGAAAAAAAAATTCAAGTTCTGTTTAGCTGTTATGGATTGCATTAGCAAATGTTATAACCGCTTAAGTAATTAACGCGATTAATAATACGAGTGTAAACGTTGAAATGTTTACTAGTCTTAATGATTAGTGTGGGCTTGTATAATTCCGTTTGTGTATTCAATCACTGAGCTGCTATCAAACAAGTGAAACCAGTATCTTAAACATATTGACCAACACCTAGCAGACAATGCATACTACAAAGTGATATACATATATATACTAGAAACAGAAACAGAAATACAATGTTAGATTGTCATAATGTTATCTGGTTTGAACACTCTTGGTAGATCAATTGCTGATTTTTTATTTTTTTTTTTTAGCGAGTGCAATATGCAGTTACCCATGTTTCCCCTTTGATGTAGGAACTTGGGTTAATGACAGAGTTACCTTAGTTTTTTCGTGTTCAAATATGTCAATTGTAACAGTGAATGGTGTGGACGAAAGTTCGTGTTACGCAAGACGTGGACCATTTCTTGTATCAAGGTACGATATTCAATTTTTGCAAATACCATTAGCAGATCAAGATTAGATTTCTTTTTGTTCCTATTTTCACACGTCTGTTTGTGACCAACCAGATAAAGTAATATGTATAATCAAGCCACTGCTTGTATCTACTACATAACAACCATATGATGTTTTGAAGACGTACGCGCGTCTAGATCTTGCGTACAAAATTGTAAGTCTGGTATCTATGTTGATGGTGAGTTGTCTCATTGGCACTCATACCACATCTTCCTATATCTATTTATTTGTAATATATCAGTATCTATATTTTCATGTTTTGTCTCAAATGATTCCTTTAGGGCTTCAACTTTCTCAAATTTCATGCAAATTTCAAAAATCTGCTAAGATATTCTCATTTGAATACCATGCTGTTGTTTCTTAGATATGATCTATGTCTATGTCTTTATCGAAAAGTAGTCATAAATAAAGATCTTAATGTGTTTGAAATATCTTCTAGGGACAGGCTCTGACTTATTGATAAATCAACCAAATTCTACAATTCAAATGTTCTTTTTATGTAATATTAAGGCTCATTACGTAAAAGTGACGTAGCAACTGACATGACTGAACTTACTGTAAATGTTTAGATAATATTACCTACTATTGATTCATTTATTTTCGCAGAAACTAAGTTTCGTGGACTTGCATTTTTGGGAGATATTTTACTTTGTGGTTTTGCCAAAGTCTGCCTAAAAGCCTATAGACAATTTGTATTTTTTTTTCTATTATTCAAAATTGCGGTTCATCTTCACATACGAAATCTACTAAAATTGACTTCCCATGAACAATCATAAATCCACAGTTATTCTTTATTTTTCAAATTTAAATGACTTTCAAGGAATTGAGGACTTTTCATTCTTTCAGATCTTTCATATCTATTTTGAGTGCATATGATTAAGTACATTTACAGTACTGTTTAGAAATGTCGTTTATTTCCCCTTCAAAATATTTTATATGATTTCACTGATACATATGAAGTAGAGTAATCGCCAGTTTGACAGTTATACTGAAATGAGAACCTATTACGGTTGATGACCTTTAATTGCAATAATAAACACGAAACTAGCATTAAACAATTTTTTTGAAGTGTGAGGAAAATAAATGTTAATTCCAAGATAGATCCTATATGAAACGTTTGCATTTACGAAATTAGTTTCCTTTTACTCTTAAAATTTAAAAATCATCTTAGATTTTTCTGATAAAATGGAGAGAATCGTTTAAGAATCAAATTCCTACATGACAAGAATGGCTAAAACACATTGTAAAAGGTAGAGAACTTACGAAAAGTGTGTTTTATATCGAACGTTTTGTAGACTCATATCACAGAAACTTATAAGTTATGAAAAGAACTATGATATCTGCTACTTGATCTAGCAATCATAAATGGACATTACCGACATATTTGTGAAGAAAAATAACTAACACGGGTATTGAGCCAAATTTATAAAAAACGCGGTGACTGGTTTTTGGTTGGTTTACATAATTTTGTATTCTACTGAAAAAGACAGGTAATAAACAACGTGTCCATAACCGTGTTTTATATTATAATATAACTGCTTTTATTTGTATTTTAAACATAACCTCCTCAATGATTGAGAGTAGTAGATTAATAAGTAACAAAGTAAATTGATATCAAATGATATGATAAATTCTACGACGAAAAACTCATTGAAGATATAAGGCGTATTATTGGAAGTGCAGAGAAAGCAGAATATTCAAAAATTGATAAACAATTCAAAAAGGGGAAACAAATAAATATTGAACATACTTCACGGTTCAAATTTATAACTACTTACTAGATAGTTTCAGTCGTCATTTTCTAGTCCAGTCAAACTGAAAAAAGACTCATCATTATTTTCAATTGAGGAACCCGAATTACGGATTTATTAATCTGCCTAAAATCACAACAATATATTGGCTAGCTCTGTATTTTTCAATAAAATGAATGTATTGATTGGTTATAGTTTGTCCTTTTTTTTTTACAGATCGAAAAATTCATACATGTGCATAAAATATATTGCAGAAAAAATTAAAGCCAAAATATCCATTGTCTATGCTACAAAAGCTAGTGAGTAGTTTTATGATGCATACATAGCAGGATCCGTTTGCCCTTATTGATATATAATATTTGAACATCGATAAAAAAGTATAACTAAAATACCAAACTCCTAGGCAAATTCAAAAAGAGGAAGTCAATAAAAATCAACCGTTATTAATCAACAGGACAAATAAAAACAATTACTGCCTTTTTTCTGACTTGGTACAGGCATTTTTCGAATAGCTGGTAAAACCTAGTATTATAGCTAGTTAAACCTCCAACTTGTATGACAATTGTTTATAGTTAGGTTATATTGAAAAAATCTAGTGAGCAACCCAAAAAGGCATGATAGATTAATTTGACAATATTTGGGATCAAACAGACAAAACTGTGTAAGTTTTTGCAATTGATACATGATTGTAGCTTTATTTCATATACACAAATATTTGCCTTTTTATATATATATTGTACGCCTAGGTTTAAATCAAACATACATAACGTAAGGAATAATTGAATAATATTTGTTTTAAAGATAAACCTTTCAGGCATTTGTATTGTTCAGCAAACATCCTTGTCTGTGTTTAGTAAATAGTGAAACAAAGTTTTCTACAGGATATTGAGATAACACAATGTCTGCCTTTATTCTAAACATTTGTCTTCATGAATTTTTCCATTTTTTAAAATACGTTGTACGTTCTTCATTGCCTTATATCATTCAAAATGGAATTTGAAACCAATTACTAGTAAAAGCTGGACAGTACAACAGTCCATAACAACCACAAAAACCTGACTCATGAAAAACAAATTCCAACAATAAGCACAATTAGCAGATAGCCTGACCTATTGCATAGTCAACAAATTGGGTCTCTTTTATTACTAAATCACGACAATCAGTCAGGCAGTTCAGAAAATGTCCTATACAGATAACATGCTAACAATAACAGCTAGTAAACACAAGCTATGCGGCATTCGTTGCTGGTATAACTTACAGAGTAAGGGCAACCGTGTCTGAAAGAGATGGCACTTAAGTTTAACAATATTTTCTATGTATTTATCATTGGAAAAACTTAGAAAAAAATGTTATTATCGATCAGACATGGCATTACTAGATCAAGTGTGTGTTTTAGTTAACGTGTCTATAAATTTCCTTTATAAAGACTTTGGTGAGTATCTCTTCAATATCATTAACGATACCAATTCTACTATAACGGGGCTTATTTTTTCAATTTATGTCTCATTATTGATCTTAAAGGCCAAAACATTTGAAAATCCCAAACCTAATACAAACATTGAAGAACTGATGAAGACACAAAAGAATCAAGGTCTACATCAATTGCAATTAGACAACGAAGCAGAGCTATGCAAGAGGAATTTACACATTTCATACCTATTGCAATTTGAATAAAACAATAGCCATATTTTCGTTCGAGTATTGAAGTACTGTCTGCACGTTTTATGATACAAAATTATCTTACACAGTTTTTACAAAATTTAGGAATTTACTTAAACTGATTAACAACTTACCTTTTTTGTAGACATGTGAAGGTTTGTAAATAGGTGGTTTAATGAAATAACTGTTTTGCGTGAGGTGTTCTTTACTATTTTCTTAATTTATAATGGCAATATTTGTGATTATAATAATAAAGTGGACATTATATATCACTTGTGTTTCCTGGACACGAGTCAGATTGTAAAGCAGGGATCATAAGTATGCTCTCCAAAGCTACTGAGGCAAACACAACAGGGTTTGAATGAATTGTAATGATTTGTAAAAGAATAAAAAAAGAAATGTTTGTTATGAATAATTTCAGTACCGACGAAGTTTTAACTAAGACGGCGATACCCTCGCGGAGTAGCAGTCCATCAGCACCAGTGCTAGATAATGAAAATATTTCAGAATCTTGAGACTGTGTCAATGCCAAAGCTATGAAATAGTTTAAGAATTAAAACTTAACGATAAAAACTCAAACAAAATTATGCGTTTGTTTGTATTTTATTTATTTTTTCAATTATATGATGAGATCAATACAAATGAATTAACACCAAAATTATTTTAAACTTTTGTAAAAATTGCTTTCAGAGACATATTCTACAGAGCCATCCATTTGTGACGTTTGTTCAGGAAGATATTCACTATACATTTTAGTTGGTAAGTATTCCTTATTCAGTTAATTTATATTTGAACGTATTTTCTGTTTTCATACATAGTCAAATTATGTTAAACAAAAACAGGTTTAAAGCTCAACATGTCTTATTTTGAGTCCCGATGATTTGGACAAAAGAACGAAAGGGCTGTAAAGGTTAAAATATCATTGAAAACCACGCAACACTACTAGTTTTGATCGAGAAAAAGATTATAATTCGGACGTTGTGAATATGAAAAAGGTTTTTGTTGATTTTATGTTAATACTGCATTGTTGTTTATTATCAACTTTTTCCGAATGTTTTTGTACCTTTTTATATAATTTACCTGTTAATTCCTATTCGTAGTACGGTTTACAATACTTTAATTATATTTAACAGAAATAGATGTCGTACTCAATTCACAATTTGTCGATTTTAATTGTAGCATATTGAATATACCATAGTTTTAGTGTTCCCATTTTTTATTACATAGCAAAAGGTCAAAACTGTAAGTATAACCTTAAACCGTTCTTTGTTGCATTACACAACTAGGAAAAAATCATTAAAAAACAATCTAACGTAAACTGTTCTCACACAATAATTCATGGTATTCCATTTCATGCAAATATTGATGGATAAATAAATATAATTCTTTGAAACTATCCCACGATATGTTGGGCAAAGCATCGTTTTTCTAAGGAGTATCTAGTTTATGGCACTCATTATAAACCGTCTCAATGCTTTTTACACATAGGAATCATCGCAAATTTCGTGCTTTGTGATAATTTCAGGCGTGTTACAAAAATATGATATATTATATAGTACACATTAAATTATTATGGAAGTTCTTAAAAAAAAGAAGGTGGGAGCGAATGTTTATCTATACAAATTCTTATAATTTGTTCACTTTGTATTTTAGTGGAGGTCTATTTTCGAAAAAAATAAATAGAAATGAATTAATCATTTATATATAATAATAATCAATTGTCCTGTCTGCCAGTAAAATAAGAATAAAGAAACATAATTTTTTTCAGACGAGCTTGCAAGACAATGTAAGTAAAAACTTCAGGAGGAAATCAAACAGACAAACAATGTTATCTTGAAAAACAAATTTCAAATTAGTATTGTCAACAGAAAGGGGTATCAAGACAAACTGACAAGGGCTACCCGGCTAACTGTTTTTCAAAAATACATGTTTACAGAATTATGATACTATTTACTACGTCATAAACCTTGCATTGTTTGTTTGATAAATGATTTCTATATCCTTACTGTGTGACCATACAAATATACACAATATTACAATTTAATATACTTTTAACCTTCAAACAAGTTCTACTAATTGGTCAAAATTAATCTGATTGTGGCACGATTGTTCATTTCTAGTTCTTATTTGATTACGTAAATCATCCTGCCGCTCCCTTCCTCTTAGCCGCGAAGTCAAATTGTTGTCCTCTGATATCAACTTCTATATAATAATTAAATAATAACGATACCTAATTGTCATTCACGCATTAAAATACTGCTAGTAATCATTTATTAAAGCAATATTATAATAAAAGGATAACAACATTTAACCTTTTCTTCACAAATTATACTAGAAACCTGTCTTGTTCTTCATCACTCCCTACGTGTGTATCTTTCGAAAAAATTTACAAAACAAACAAATTCAACAGATTATCAAGACGCATTAAAACGTTTAGGCAAATAATTTCCGATAGTTGTTTTAAGATATTGATATAGCTATGTCCAACATTATTAACTGAATCTTTTTTAAAAGAGTAAAATCCAGTTGTAATATTATTCCTTTTTTAAGGTTTTTCATACCATGAATGAATGCCGATTTCATTTAGAAACACACAATGTTTACAATAGTCCATGCTTTTATTCTTATGATTGATTAAATTTACATTTAGTCTTGGGAAAATTCCCAAAATATATGAAAGTTTTACTGAATTTATGGTAAAGATAGACGTGACAATTTTTCATTCGGAAAAAATTCCCGAAATCATTTTCAACACTAGTTAAAACATTTGATAGCAAAGCTATGTGACAAATAGATTTTAACACATTTTGGGAAAAGTCCCGAAAAATAATCTAAATGCAAAATGTATAACACAGATGTCTTCAAACATTTCGGGAATTATCCCGAAAACCAACTTATATGCTAAAACTCATGACAATGATTTCCTTCACGAAAACCAAATCTATAATCAAGCACTTGTTGCAAAGATTTCTTTATCCATTTCGGGAAAAATCCTGAAGACCAAATCAACAAGCAAAAATAAATTTTTCAGATTTCTTTAAACATATCGTGAGAAGTCCCGAAAACAAAATGTATATGTAAGATTTTACAACACAGAATTCTGATACGTTTGGAAAGTTTGTTTTTAAATTTGTGTTCAACATATGTAAAAATTTGCTGATTAATTAATAAAATGTGTCGAACTGAAAAAAAAAAATCAATGAACCATGACTGAAAGTGTTGGGCCAAATAACCTTCATGGAAATTTATGAGAAATGGCAATGCTAATATAACTGCATACCAATTATCATTGACTTAGCACAAGTGGTTCCCTTAAAACTAACCTAAACACAAACTTTTAACATGTAAACTATGCAAAAATTTTAAAGTAAATGAACCCTGATGAAGGGAAGAGGCCATTTATTCTTCATGGAAATGAGATCTGCAAATGCTAATACTACTGTATACCAAATAGCATTGTCTTGCCATTTGCGGTTCATCTTCAACTGACCTAATCATAAACTTTTAACAAGTAAACTATGCAAAAGTTTCAAAGTTATTAGACCATGATTGAGTGGTGCAAGGGCAAACAATTTCCATGCACATCAGATGTGCAAATGCTTATTCTTTATTTATAAATCTGTTGAATTAAATGCTTTTTTACCGTTTTTTCTTCTTAAAAATTTACATTGCTGCATTGCATTACAATGAAAATGGAAATAGACAGCAAGCTGTCACAAAAGCAGGAATCTTGAAATGGAAAAAGTCGTACCCTAAAGCAACAAAAGGAGAAAAATGTGTTGTCAAACCGCAGACAGTTCAAGCAACCTATGGTAAGATTTCATAAAACTTTCTGGTTCAATAATAAAAACATAAAAAGCACTATGCAAGACATTTACTTTGTAATAATATTGCTTTTCAGCAGTTTTTATTTATGGGAATTATTAAGGTTTATTTACAGCAGAATGAGTCTCTTTTTGTACAATTGAAATTGAAAAAGTTTATATTCTCAAAATGCATAATGCACATGCCTGTAGGTGCATTTATAAATTCGCACTGTTAAGTTATATGAATTAGAGGCTGAGCTACTAAATATTGCTTCTATTTGTCTTGTAGATTATGTTGGAGCTCTTCTGAAAAGAACTTTTGGCAGACGAAATAACTTGTCAAGCATTAAAGAAGCTTTAGAGGACTTTAACGTTGTCTACCAGAGACTTCCTCCACTAACAGCATCAAATGCTCATTTGACAAGGAGGAGCTAATAAGACATCGAACAAGCCGTTTTGCTAGAAACTGACAACATTTCCCAACTTTGCATACTTGTACATTTGTTTTAATATATTATGTGATCATTGTTCAATATTACTCCTCACCATTATCTTTGTATTTACCACAATCAACACCATGTAATCAAGTGTTTTTATCTTTCAATGCTAGGTTGTGGAAACATGAAATATACACAGATTTTAACCACAAGTATGGGCGGGAAATTGAGAGATATTTATTTTCAAATTATCATGGGCTGGCATATTTAAACCCAGTAAAGTCCTCAGACGGGAATGCCTCCCGAATTTTTATTACTGCACATGCTGGTATCACTTTTATTCTCTTTTTACCAAGAATATGCCAAATCCAACGAGTGAACCGTCTGTACGCAATATATCTATATAATCTGAAAAAAATAAAATATTTAACAGATTATTCAAATTCGTTATACAAAGTGATACTTAAGGCTTGATCAAGGGTATTATTATAACTGACTGTCAGTATGCTGAAAAAAAGTGATTAAGATGTTTTCATATTTTCATGATAATCTATTTGTTTATCCAGATTTAATTTTTTGTCTTTTTTGCATTCCATCATAAGCTTGGTCTTGACATTTTTTTTATTATGTTTCTGATTGAAATTGTAATTACAAATGATAGTTGTGAAGTTAAATTGATGTTTAATCGACGATATTAAATTGAACTTACTCATGAATTGGTTCATTATCATCTATTGGTCCCTGCCTTTCAACAAAGTCATACAAAGAGACCTCAATGACATGTTTATTTAGACAGTTTCCAGTGAACCCCTCATTGTCTGTTATGCAATCAAGGTCCCCATCTCCATCTTTTCTGCAACTGGAATAACTTCCTTGCAACAAAGGCATTCATCCACAGTGGGCATTACAGTGCAGTTGTTACACTCACACCTGGGAAATTAATGTACTATGTAGATTTGACTTGCAAATTTTTACAATAAATCCTTTATTACGTAAATTTGTAAAAAGAACGGTCAAGTAATTTATAAAAAAGGTAACAATGCATCAATGTAAAATTAATAGCATGGCGCATTTTTACATTAATTCCATATCATTGTGAGTACTTACTACATGTACAAAAGGTACAACAAAATCAGTACCTATTTTTTAAATTAAAACTAATAGTCTATAGGTCTTATTCATCATCTTCTTCTTTGAAAATGAAAATATGGAATTATCTCATTTCATTTGACTCTGTATGTAGTTCATGGAGTTTTTAATATACGAGTGTAGGCAAATGTGTATGATATACATGCCAACCCCCCTTTTTTAATAAAGAACAAAAAACGGACTAAAACACATTTACATCTACGGAGGCTTGGTAATGTTAGTTTTTTAATCATGTTAGACAATATTGGACAATCAACCATACCATGCCAAGTTATCCATCCGGCTGTCTTGCAGGTCAGAGGAGTCAGATTCGTCGACTTCAGAATTTTCCTCAGAGTCAGATTGATTTTGACTGCTCACTTCGTTTTGTTCAAAATGAACAACAGGCTCGAACTGATACGGTTGAATACTATCAACAGCAATTATCAATGGCTCATCACCGCTGTCCTGTCCGTCGAAATCCATTGAATACTTTGTCTAAATTGAGTTGGAAATAGCTCTGTTTCTCGTGGTATGGCGAATGTAAACAACACAAGTGACGTCACGCAGTCATTCGGGACGATGCTTATTAATTGTCGGCAATGTCCGGAAAAAGGTTATTTCAAGCTGATACAACCTGTTTTTATAGACATACGATATGAGTTACACACTAATCTACGAAATTAACGATGATTACATCCCATTACGATTTATTTTACAAATGATTTTTTGAAGTGGCCGTTGTCCTTTAAAAAGAACTGTTTTTGTCGAGCCTGCAACATTTATGTCGCGAAAGCGAGACATAGTTATCCTAGATTCTGTCAACATTTAGGTTCAGTCTGTGGTAAAAGTGTTTTAGTTAATCATCAATAACTTTGTCAAACCTTCATTGATTTTATGAAATTTGGACAGAATCTGGTTTATGATATAAAAAAAAAGTATCCAGAGCAAAATTTTCATTTTCCGTATTTTACTGATAAATGGACTTAATTTTTTTTACAGTAACATTCAGGTTCAGTCTTTTTTACACTTAACATTCAGATTCAGTCTGAGATTAAAGTTTCTTGTAATTTTAAGAAAATTGGACAGAAGCTCGTTTTTTATTTTGAAAATATAATTTTCATTTTTCTATATTTAACTGATAAATAGAATAATTTTTTTAACACTTAAATTTAAATTCAGTCTGAGGTCAAAGTTTTTCAAATATCAATAACTTTGTCAAAATTTCATGGAATTTTATGGACAGGCCTGTATTTTACTGATTAATGGACTTAATATGTCTTTTATATTAGTTAAGCCATTTCAATTGATATTTTATAGTGTGTCTTTCTATGTTGTGATGTTACACTATTGTTTCAGGTAGGGTGAAGGTTGGCGCCTATTACAACGTTTAAACCCGCTGCATTTGTTTGCACCTGTACTAAGTCAGGAAACCT